TTAATTCCTCTAGATTCTCCTGTTTGTTTCTCAAGATTATTAGTTGTGTATTTAGCTCTTATTTTTATTTTTCAGTAACACAGAAAGCAGTACTGCCCTCTATTTTTTCATGGTATATAATTTCTTATGTAATGACTTTGTTACATTTTCCAGCTTCATTATCCTTATTTCAGAGCCTATCTCTTGCAAACAGAATGTTGTTGGTTTTTTTCTCTGTTTAACCTGTCTTTGAAGGTTCTTTATGTGAGAATTTATATTCTTTAATTTATGATTGCTATTGTATTTGTTATGTTTTCTGTATGTTTTCTTAGTTTTTACATTTGTTATTTCTTCTCTGTTATGTCTTCTGTTTTACATAACATTCTTTGCTTTCTTTTAGCTTTTAAACAAATTTTAAAGGTGAACAATCTTTCAAATTCTCTTAGTGCTAAAAATAACATTTGTTTCTGTATTTATTTACTATCATTAAAGCAAAAGCAAGAACTTGTCTTTTCTTCCATATAAGGAAATTTAACTTCTCCCTTTTTTGGCATCTTCTCTTCCTATTCTTTATCTACCCTGCCTCCCCAATTATTTTTTTCTTTCACCTCTTACATTTATTCTATGAAGTGTCTTAATTCTTCCGAGCTTCAGCATGGTACTCATAAGTATGTTGCTATTTTTGATTCAGTTAGTTAACAACCACTGAGGCCTCAGTCTGAGTCAACAGATCCTGAGCTGGGTACAGGAGATACAAAGGTAAAGGCAGTTCTGTCCCTGCCTTCAAGGTTGTTAAGGTGGCATGATGTGCAAATCAGCCAATAATGGCAAAAGATGTGATGTGTCAGGTGTATTGGAGACAGAGAAAGAGAGGAAGTGATGTTTGGTGAGTCAGTGAAGGCACCCTGGGAACTAAATGTTACTGTACATACAGCAGGGCTTTGTGAGAAGAGGACAAATTGAGAGGACAGAAGTCTGAAGGTGCACATACATCACCCTATTCTTGGGAGAATGGCTGGAGATGAGCCTGGACAAGGGATGTTGGGGCCAGATTGTGAAGCACCTTGAATGATGGGCATCAAGTTTCGGTTTGTTTACTGTGGTCTATACCACAGAGGGTTTAAAGCAAGGAAGTACCATGTTCTAGTTCATTTTTTAGAAAGATAATTCTGGCTGTCATGTGAAGCACAGCCTGCATGGAGGGAAGTAATTTAAGCAGCTGTGGCAGTTGTCCAGATAAGAGGTGAGAGCAACTTGAGCAAGGGGGTAGCATTGATGATGGAGAAGAGGAGATAAGAGGCATTTTGAGGCAGAATCTAAAATTACTAGTGCCTGCCATTGGGGAGATTGGGAGTTGGAGCATGCCTCAGAGGAGTTTTTTTTTTGTTAGTTTTAGGGAAGGTGATGATAGATGGTGGAACTACTGAACAACTAGGGAGTGGCATAACGGGGGTGGAGTGGGTACAGAGAGTAATTTGGAGAGAAGCAGGAGAGAGTTTATTTTAGGACTTGTTGGATGTCTAGGAAAACATCTATGAGCAGTTGGAAATATGGATCAGAAACTCAGGTGAGATGTTGAGGCTAGAGATAAAGGTGTGAGACTGACTTGTACCAAGGAGGATATAGAAGCCATAAGAAGAGATATAGTATCCCTCAAATAGAACATGTACGGAAAATAAAAGGTCTTAGAATGGGCTGTTGGCAAAGGTCAGTCTTTCAGGAAATTGAAACATGTTGAGCACTGTAATAGTCTCCAGCATGGGGTGGCTAGAGCTTTTTCAGATGACTGGCTTTATCTTCACATCAGCCTTATGCATGGAATTATTAGTCTGCCTTGTAGATATGGAGACTAAGGTGTTGTTACTAAGTTAGGAAGTAGGATTGCAAACCAGGCCCAAATGCCAAGTCCATGCTAGAGAAAGAAGTAGAGGAGATAACAGAAAATTGGTGTGGAAGAGCTATTATCTTACAGGGGTAGTGGCCAACAATGGCCACT